CTTTTACTAAATAGAACTACATGTATAATACGAGTTATGGTAACTTACTACGTCAATCTGTTAGATTTTCCAACACTTACAATGTCGATATTAATGACCCAGATTATGCTGTCCACATTTTCTCTATATAAAAACATATATCTCTAGTCCGTTGCTTATTGATCAATTTGACTTGAAATTTACTACCAGTTATTCAAATGTTTTGCTTGCAGTTACTCAAACGTTTCAATACTTCACGCAGCTCTCCAGTTAAAAGAAATTGACTCCAAATTCTTCATGTTGCACTACATCTTGATTTCACAAGACTAAATACTAGTGCATAGCCCTTTCCACATATCAAAGCAGGCAAACAAAAAGAACATTACTACCTTGTGGATTTAGATTATAGGTGCATTAAGGCTAGAGCTCAAAGGGAGAAAACATGCTGCAGTTTCTGAAATCCTTTCGTAGTGTATCTGGATCCATCATTCCCTTAGAATGGGTCACAGTTGAAAACACCACCTAAATTCTGTCATTTCTACTTTTTCTACTTAGAACTGGTCACTTAATTTTTCTGTATCACACAACATCTCAATTGATGAATCCTTACCAATAAATGGTTCTATTAGTATTTACTTGGTTCACCTTGAACCGTTTAAATGTTTGAATCAAATGTTTATATGTGAACCTTTTTCCACAAGCAAACACACAAAAGGAGAGATATAAGCTTTTAAGTCGGAGATTCTTAAAAATATACGGTTTCAAACTCTTGGTTTTTTGTTTCGGGGTCAATCATCTTTGTTTTATAGAGAATTTAGTTGAACTTATTGACACTCTAATTGATTTGTAAATTTTATATACCGATAGTACCATCCTCGTGTCTATATTCATACAATTCATACTTTATATTAAAAAAGGTCAGAGATATATAAACAAAAGAAACTTTCAAGGTCTAAGATATACAGCATAAGCTGCATAAGAGCCATCTGAGGATATATAAATAAAGAATCTACAAGAACAAGATATGCACAAGAAAGGAAATAAAAGAAACTCACTGGTTATCTTTGATGGAGAAGCTTTCCTTGTATATAATAATGGGAAGCATCTCTCGCAGCTCTTTCTTCAATCCCAACTCAGCCTGTTAAGCCAATAACCAAGAAAAAAATCAGCAGATACGACCATCGCCATAGATCGACATTCATACCGTAAACAACATGATCAAAAAAATTCGAATAAATAAAACCAAAGAAACCAAATAAAGAAAGGTTCTTCAATGGCGGAAATCGTCATACTCTAGAGAGGTCATTGCCGTTAAGGTTCTGCAAAGTAGCTCTCATTCTCAGAGAAGACCAGTCGGCTCGTCGACGGCGGAGATAGAACAAATAAAACAAGAAGAGGAGAACGAAGGTGAAGAAAATGGGCACTGAGAAAATGAAAGCTTGATAGAGCTTCAGCTCAGTCGTGGCCACTGAAGAATTCGTTGCGCTGTAAGTTGCTGGTTTGGGGTTGCTGTAAGACATTACCCAATCTATTCCTCAGATCCAAACACCTTCCAAATCCCATATAAAACCCAAAAAAAAAAAAGAGGCTTTAAGAATTCTGAAGCGTCAAGAAGTTTTCAAACAAAACCCAGAAAAGCCCAGATTAGAGAACAGATACAGAGATTGTTTTGGTAATTTGGAGGAGAATACAAAAGAGAATCGAAAAGTTGTAAAACACCCTTCTGCAACCAAAAAGAAGTTTGCTGGAACTAGCTCAGACGTAAGTAAACTAATGACAAACAGTTCTCTCAAGTTGTGAAACTCAACAGGAATTGACGAGAAAAAATTAAGGAGAAAAAAAAAATTTCAACAGAGCAAGCGTTGTAGGAGATCCAAACAAGATGCAGAAGAGAAGGGAGAAGGAACTTAAATGGAAAAATAAGAAAAACCCAGATGAGAAACCAGTATGATTTGGTAAATTTTAGGAAAAAATAAATCTAGAAAACCAAATGTCTAGGAATAACCTTCTGCAACCAGAAAGTGATTTAGCTAGAAAGAGCTCGAATGGGGTCTATGACAAAGAAATTGTCTGCAAATGCGAAGTTCCACAGGGATTAACGCAAAGAAAAATGAAAGAAAAGAGAAATAGTTCAACAGAGCAAAGTCTACGGAAGATCCAGACGAGATGCTGGAGAGAACGGAGAATGATCCCTGATCCCTGATTAGCAAGTGAAGAAAAAATAAATCGATTCTAGAAAGAAAGAAACTGAAGCAAAAGCAAATTTATAGACTGGGACAGTATTAAGAAGCTGAAATCAGGAATGGCGAGACGAAGAGAGAACCAGAAGCAGAAACTGCGTTGAGAGGAGGTGATCTTCAAACTGACATAGATCATGCCTCGGGCAGGTATAAGTAGGTAAGGGATGAAAATTTTCACTACACTGAATCTGTCTATTTTTGCTTTAATTTATTTATTTGTTATATATCTAAAATAGGAATAAAATAATGATTTATTTTAAAGCAAAAATACAAATTAAAAAAGAAAATCCAGGGACGTTACACAATAAAAATCTGGCACCGATAGCAACGGGTGATAAATTGGTAAGGGATAAAAATTGTCAAATGTATATTAATATAATTTTAGTTTAACATTTACTTATTATTGGATTAAT